ACTTACAATGCCACAGCCTGTTTAACCCATGAAAAGAGCTTCAATTTTGCTTTGTATCCTCCACAGTATCATCAGAATCAGAATCACTGGCATTATAGCCTAAAAAGGAAGAAAAGATGAACACCACACAATAACAGTGAACCAATATAAAAGTTAATCAATAAAAAATAGCAAACTGATAAAATCAGTAAACAGAAAATCTACATACCTGGGCGTTTATCACTCACTTTCCATGCCGATGACCGACTCTTTGAAGCTCGGGTAATCCAAGCTCTTCCCTGTACCCAAATTGACCAATCAGTAGAAGCACTTCCCACATCCTCAGAGACAGCAAATAGAGACGGAAAACCGAAAAACTGTCAATGTTTCAACCAAACCTAAAACTCTACTTCTGGGCAGTGGAAAGAGTGGAACTATTTTATTTTGACTGCTTTGAAAACTTTGGGCAACTTCTAATAAATAGATTTATGAAATTGAACAGGCACACTGTGGTTATTCACTTCTTTGATTATAGAGAAGATAAGTAAGCATGTAAATGTTGGTACATCCTCTTAATCATGTGTAACTTCATTAAGAATAAACTAAGCACTTAAATCATGCTAATTTTTCTTCTCCTTATCTTAAATTATTAAAGAGTTCAAGTTCAATTGGATTGTTGCTATCTTCACATGATGGATACTTTCTGTTAATTATGGGTTTCTTCTAGTAGTATTTATAAGGCACACACGAGCTTGAATGTTTGAAGATATTTCATGTGCTTGACAATAATAAACATTTGTTGTTGGCCATTTATCCCATTTTCACCCTTGTTATCGAAACTAATGTAAGACCAACATATTTGGAGGATTCTTCTGACAAAATAAAAAATATCTAATTGTCAGTGAAGTTATTTCATCCTTTTTTTTTCCAAAATCCAAAAAGCTCTTCCTACTTGGAATAGGTAAGAAGGTTCAGCATTTAATAAAGTCAACTTTACCCTGTATAAGCACAAAGAGTGTCAAAACTTCAAGTGTAAGAACAGTTCAGACTGTGCTCTTTCAACAATACGTTTTATGGTGGTTTTCTCTGTTCATATCTTGTCAATGGAAAACAAGGATCTCTACACCAGGTTATTTATAAATCACCAAGTTCTAGATTGTTAGCAAACTATGAGCAACTATAATTGAACTAAGACAAGGAATAAATGGAAGAAGATCATAGGAAGCAAAAATCAAACACCTTCTGTGCATCTTTGGATATACCATAGCCACTAAAATACATCTGACCAACAAGGACCTGCATGTTAGCGTCACCAGCTTTCGCCTCCTTGAGAGTATCGTGGAACCATCGCTTGACACAGTCAGCCACCACGTCAGCAAGAGGTAGCCGCCGCTGGTTCGACGAAGAAGTATTGGAATTGGAATTGGAGTTAGAGCTTGCTTCTTCCATGTTCTTCTTCAGCTTCAGCCGCCGCTCCGATGAATCGCCGTCGACCACCGCCCTAAACTTTGCGGCCACAGGGGATGGAACTGACCTAATTCTGGATGCGGGTTTGACTTGGGTCGGGCGCTGGATTCTGTTGGAGCTGATTATTCTGGCAAAATCTTGAATTCTATTTGGTGAAGGAAGCGATTTCCCCATAAAACGTCGCAGAAAAAAACCCCACTAGGCCACTACTTTTTGAATTTTCAGTAATTGCAATGCCCCTAACAAGGAAATATTTGGGTACACCCACAAAATTGATTTAAAAAATACAAATTAGATCTTAATGTTCTTCTCTTTTTTCTTTTTCTTTTTTAAAAAATGTTTTTATATTGCTTTAGATGTTGAGACTTGGGGCCGCACTCATAGATATTCATTTAGTTTGTTTTCTTTAATCAAGTGGCAATAGAAGATGTCTTGATATCCACAAATTAATTTTATTTTTTAAAAAGGTTCATTATTGTTGATTTTTTGAAGATTAAAATCTTAATATGTGTAGCTAGCTTTTATCGACGAAATTAAAATTACAGCTTTTATTTCTTTTGTACAAGTACTTTGCAAAGATGAAATAATAAATTTGTTGCATGTCATATAAAAAAAAATAACCAGCAGAATCTTAATAACTGACACAATTACTTGTAATAATTTTTTTGCACAACTCTTTTGGTTATAAGATCAATTGTAAGAAAAACGATGTGTTTAGGATTAAGAAGTGACGATTGACGAGGAGTGACTCATTATTCTCGTAAGAAGTGAATGGAATATTGAGTGGAGCTTTATATTTAGGGTTTACAATAGATACTTTATATACCTAGGTATAAAAATATAAATATGGTTACGAGTTAACAGTTTATTTAATAAGGTAATTGTGTAATCTGTCCCTCTACTGCAAAGTCGCTAATTATAATTTTTTAAATTCATTCACCAACTGTGAATCTGATAGCCACTACTAATAATCCAATTTTGTAATTGGTCTATCAATTATGGCTTGATTTTGAACAATCGTAGTAAATATGTTTCTTAATGAAGTCTTAGCTCATTATTGGTTGTAGGATTTGACATAAATATCAAAAAATAGAATCATATCAAACTAATTTGATTCATCGGTATGAATATAATTTTATTTTATTTTTAAAGTTTGGTAGTTTATTTGAGGCAACCGATTCTTGGGTTCACCGAAGAACTGAACTTGTGTTCCATAATTGGAAATCTAAAATTCTACATAGTTGGAAATCTCTTCTATAGAACAAATTGCTCAACTTCTTGACATCACTATACTCGATCTTAACTTTGAACACTTTTGTTCATGATATTTGTTGCTGGATTTGTTGAGTAACGAAGTTGTTCCTTCCTTGGGGTCTTGTGTTGTTTGTGAATAAGAAGAATGGTTCTATGTGAATGTGTATGATTATAAACAGTTGAAGAAGGTTACCATCAAGAATAAGTATCATATTTCATACATTAATGATTTAGTTAACTAACTTCATGACGCTTTGATGTTTTTGACGATTAACGTGAGGTCAAGATATCACCAATTGAAGATTAGGGATTTAGACGTCCCTAAAACATCTAAATCAAGATTAGTAGGTGGATCAACTACTTAAGAGTTCTTAGACCCAAATTAATGCGCTAAACAAACATGGGACAGGTCAAAGATCCATACGCTCAAAAGGCAATATATATTCATAAATTTAGGTCAAAAGTCATATTACACACATTTATATATATATATATATATATACTAGATGGTTCTTGCCGGTGCTAAGCACGGGCTCAACAATTTAAATTCTGATATAATTTATTGTGTTTGATCTACCTAGGAAATATGTTCGAGAAATCAAGAACCATAATAAACATTTTTATTCAAAAAATTACATAAGACAAAAAATAAAAATACGAATAATAAGTAAAAGTTTTTATAAAGATCAACAATCTTAGTGAGCTCTAGCTTTGAATCGATCAAGAAGTTACTAAATTCCATCAACCTATTTTTGTTTATAGCTTTTGTTCTTGCACTTGAACTCCACTCTGAGCAGTCTTTACCCCAGGAATAAATATAGTTGTGAACTACCAGGACATGGTGGGGAGGGACCTTACATTTAGAAATTTTATAGAAATCTTCACCAACATGTTCACTACTCTTCATCTTGATCACACTATATATATTGATCCACAAAAGTTAGTACATTTTCATCTCTATGAGTGAGCAACTGAATTACAAGAAGTAATAATATTTGTCATGATGAAATACTATTGAAAGACCTGAGAGTTAGTTCATACATACATTGCAACAGAAAACCATACATACTCAATTTATATTTATATAAGATACCTTGAAATGATATTGGCTCAAGCTTGAAAAAACGAAGAAGATGGTTTCCTGAATCATCAACCATTTCAAGCCTTAAAACATTTCCATTCAAATTATCAAAAAATAATCAAGCTCGAAATAATTGATTAGGGGGCATGATCTGGACTTTCTTTTGTTGTTTCTATTAAGTCATTGAAGGGTAGATTGGAGTTTATGTGAGTTCGTTCTCGACTGCTTTTGTATTTACTTTGAGAGCCTATTTGAGAGTGCCTATCCATTTTTCTTTCTTTCTTTAATCTATTGAATTTATCAGTTGAAGAAAGATCATTTTTTTGGATTCTTCATTGTCATCAATAGCTATAGATGGCTACTGATACAGTTTCACCAGATCATCCTACACCCGCCTCTGAGTTAAGCTTCTGTGAATTATCGCTTCATGTTGCTAACGAATTTAGTCAGATTTTTACCAAAACATGTTTACGTCTCTTCTTTGGGTACTTTAAATGGGTACATATGTTGACAACTTAGTTGAAGTACCATTCTTGGTTGTTTGGTTATAGATAGAGTTTTGCAGCAAATACACTATTTACTGTATCATCTCTAATGTTATGTGTTGAGTTTTATTAACACAACTCAGATTTTAGAATTTATATTGTGACCCAATTTTTGAGTTCAAGGGTCCTTGTTAATAATGTAGTTTTGATTTTACTATTATAAGGATAATAGGGTGATGAACCTCCTCAGTCCCTGCTATCTCTACGAAAGCAAAGAGAGAACTCCAATGTTCAAGTGCATTTTACTAGAATTCCAAACACGTAAGTAAGGACTTCTCTATGGAAGATGATAAAACTACATGACAACATAATAAAAAAGGATTTGAAATGAAATGCACGGTAGCTTAGCAACCTAGAATATGAATTTAAGGTACAGAGTTGTCGAGAAGACGACGTCTTTTTAATTCAGCTCTGTTTGCTCATTGTTGAGCTAAAAAGACATATTTTTTCTCGGGTGGTATTAGTTTAAATAACTCACTCGTCTAGCTTTCTGGTTCAGTGCATACATTTTCAGAGGTGTGATCATAATTATAACTCCTCTCTAACATTGCTATAACTTTTCTGTTCCAACGAATATTCTTCGGAAAAAAATCCAGTCAACCATAGTCCATATGTTTAATACTATTTAGTATGGTTATATGGTGATATAAATTCAACTTTAAAGGCACATTTCATAGGTAAAAACAACTCAGATAATTATAAACATACGATCTTTATACATAGATAATAAAATCAGTGAAAAGGGAGATAGGCATATCCAAGATGATCAAACCAATCTTGACATTGACGTATTACCAGCCAAAAGAGCACCATAGACCTCGAAAACTTGACATTTTAATGCGAAGAAGCTGACTGGGAAATTTAAATCCTGCAGAAGATGACACTTACCAAAGTTAAGAAGGTTAAACACACACAAAGACAACAATCACCACAACAGACCTAAAGACTCCCAAAACAACTTAGGCTTCAAAATTGGAGGAATATTTAAGAAAATGACTAACCAAACCAAAAGCATGGATTGATTTAGATGAAATCCAAGCATCTCATTGTGTCCTAAGTGGAGTATCACCTAAAATTCTAAAAAAGAGCTAAACTCGGCAATTCAAAGAGACGAGATAGTCTAAGGAAGTTCACAACAGCCGAATTCACATATTTTAACAGATGTAAGATAAGTGAGATTATGAATTTTTTTTGTTGCTCAATGATGCATTGTTCTCACTCTTTATGTGATCTTCTATCCTCCTCCAATACCATGGCAAGCTTCTCTCGTTCTAATTCATATTGATGAATGAAGAATAAGCAGTTATGAGCTACGTCAATGCAAGAGAAGATTAATCTTCTACTCTTAACAAAAACAAACAAATAGTAATACTGGAAGGAAGCATCATACATGTCTGAGCTAGATTTCAATAAGGATTAAGAAATAGAATCAATTACATATACTTTCAAGTTTCAAGCACCCCTTTTCAATTTTTTTCGTGCAACAACACAATCAGAAAGCAACTACTTATACAAGTTTTAAAAAAATTGCAAGTAGGAAGAGCCATCCAAATATATACTCACTTGACTCATGTTTATAAACAAATCAATGACAACTATGTTTCAATCCTAAACAAGTGGGGTGTGTAATCACAAGCACATATATTCAAGCAAAATTATCAGTGCATGGATCAACTAAATGGGAGGATTCTAATTCTTAAAGGCTTTCTTTTGACTTTTGAATCTCTTATATTAGAATATGTGATCCATAAAATTAGTGTTCCTTTTTATTAAGCCATGGAATGATGGTAATCAGTCACTTAAACGTGTTAAAATATAAAGGGAATGGAAAAAAACATTAGTCATCTCCTTCCTAGAACCTGTTCCAAATTCTACTAATATGAATAATATTGCAACCCTCAAAAGAGTAATAGCAGTATCTATGTAATTTTTTCTTTTCTTTTTCTGATGGGTAAAAGGACATCATCTTATGTTTGTTCAAATATTTTAACAAGTTAAGCTATTAGTTCAATATATGAAAGGCATTGTGTTGTGTTTGTTGAAGAATGTAAGTATATTGTTGTTGTAAAAAATAACAGAGACAAACACTGCACAATGAATCTAAGATCTACACGATTTTAAAATTATAATTTTTTCAGTGTGAAACAAATTAATTAAAGATAACAGTTTTTTAAGATCAAACAAATTCAATAGGTGAATCAAAAAGGCTTACTATTAGTAATAAATCACAACATCTAATACAAAGTTTACAAGTTTGATTAGGTTTTTAACATGAAAAGGCAAAAGTGAAACTAAAGAGAGCCTAAACTTGAAAGAAACCTCGAGTTGATGTCATGTTGCTGCATTTGTTTAGGAGTAGAGAATAAAAGGTCAACCGATCTTTCTAGAGCTCTACTTTAATGGCTCGCTGCATAATTATTGCTCCTTCTTGAATGTTTTAAGAAGGAGAATTGAAGGAGTTCTCTGTTTTGTTTTGCAGAAGAAGCAAAAATTGAGAGAATAACTTACCCTAATTCGGAAGATATTGTAAAATTGAACTTGAAGGTGCCAAGAAATTAGGTTTGGAAGCAAAAAACTGGAGATTTTGAGTTGTTCTTGTATTTGTCGGTGAAAGAAAGTGCAGAAATGGTTGCTTCGAGAACTATGTGGAATATTTTTATTAGTGTGAAATGACCAATATACCCTTGGTCGTCCTCCTCTTCATGTTTCTATATAATAGAAATTTGATATAATTAATTTCTGATGGCATAGTACTACCTATTTCTGATAGGAGCAACATGGGTTCTCTCATAAGATTAGAACTTTGTGCAACAAAAACAATGGTGAAATTAGAAGACGATGCAGTAGCCAAATCATTATTCATTGAACTTTCAGATAAGTTATGCTTTCTCATTTTAGCTCTCTTTGCTCGACGGCGTGCCAGAAGAATCTCTTTTTCCTCAGGTGGCATCAATCTGTATAGTTCGCGTCTCCTAGCATTTCTATCCGCATTTGATTTCTAAAAAGCATGCACATTTTTATGGTTTCTATTACTTGACATTTTTGGGATCAAAATAATTTTACACAAAATAATTATCTGGTAAATAATAATAATAATTTTAAATAAGGGATTAGTTGAGTAATACTTACCACACACTGAGAGAAAAGTGAAACACAGGAGCGGACAACTACTACAATGAATTGAGAATTCTGTAAAGTTAATAATTCAAACCATATATTAAATCTAATTTAATAGACATGTATGACTGGAAAAAAAAATGATAAAAACGTAAGGCTGATTTAAATAGTAATGCATAAGAGAATATGGAATGAGAATAGTAACAAACAACACATAGTTCTTTTTTTCCATTTAAGTCTAAATAATTGATAAATAGAGAATAACAAACAAGAATTATTGTGCAATCCATGTACTGGGACAAAAGAACCAAGTTGCAAGCTTTCTATGACAACACTACATCAACTGGGAGTTTCATTGCACGAAAAATCACTTCATGATTCATGCAGCATTAAGGAAAAAAGAAAATGCATTTTTGCAACAATGTATCTTTCAACCTATGTTTGCTCAAACTCTTCAAAAATGTCAGTGGGTGCGCGTCAAATTCTCCAAATATAGTATATTTTTGTAGAATCCGACACGTGTGCGACATTCAAAGTGAAGAGCCTACGCAACATAGCTTTCAACATACCATAATATTGTTATTTTCTAACGTGGTCAATGAAGATTCATATAGCCGACCCTACATGTTTGAGACTTGGGCATAATTGTTGTTATCGTTATTATTGTATTTCAAGATTGTTGATTGTTGGCTTTTAGGTCCCTGCCTATTTGAGATTTTGGTAAAGCTATGAGCTTTAGAGAAAAACTTGTACTTTCAGCCTATTTGAATTGCAACTGTCTTGATTAATTTTGCCAAGAGTGTAATTTATATAGATCTAATGGATAACTGAAAGCGATGGACTTTTATGTGAATAGCATGAAAAAGACATTGATGTAAATACAAAAAATTTAACGTGCTAATCCAACTTCCTTGAAATCATAATTCCTAACAGATAGCTATATGAATAAGAAAAAAAAAAGATAAGTATATGAGAGAAGGACAAAAAAATTGATGAAGAACTTACCTGAAATTGAAAGAACAGAAGACAAAACAAACTTGATATAATAGGAAGATGAACTATCTGTGAGAAGAGAAGATGAAGAGTTATTTAAAGGTATGATGAAAATTTCTAGACAGAAGATATTTTGTAATTGTGTGTTTAATATTCTGCCACGTGGAAGGGATTTAATGGACAAGTAAAATATTATATTTTATACATAAAAAATAAATTAAATATATAATAAAATGACAATTATACCCTTGAATATTGCAAGAATACCTCCTTGTTAGGTTTAGTTTTTTTTTATATAATTATAAATTATTATTTATTATTTTTTTCATTAGAGATTTTGAGATTCAGACAAAATGAATGAAACATATCAGAGATTAAAATTTCGTTCAGGAAGATGAGCAAGTCTCCATTGATGATGAAGCAAGAAGTTTGTTGATCATAAAATTGTCTTGATGTAAGATCTGAAATGAATAACAATTTAAGTTCTGATAAAGAAGAAGAAATTGAAAATCTTATTTCTAGAATCTGATGAAATTGAAAAAAATGGAAAGAACAAAAAGTCAAAAATCTAGAACTTTAACAATATTGATGACCTCGTCACTGATGGCCGCCTCCACCAAGCTAGCTACATTCTCGAGTATCAGCAACTCTACAATCGGTACACTTTGTGTCTCGCACATCTGCAAGAATTTATCAAAGAATTCGAATCGAGATGATTAAATTGAAAAAATGAGCGCGTCACTGATGGCCGCCTCCACCAAGCTAGCCAAAGAAGTCGAATCGACGCCTGAGCCTCCTCACGCAGGCCACCATACGAAACTGTTTTCTCTCTGATTTCAATCATTTTGGTATGGGAGTCAACCGTGATACTCAAATCTCTGGACCCATACGTCCGAACATCAAGCAAGGGAGCGTCGTGGAACCTAACCAGCCTGAGCGAAGGAACGTTGAACGAGTTTCGTTGTCGAAGAGACGAATCTTCAATTTCAAGAAGATGAAGTTGCGACTCTTCAATTTTTTCAAGAAGATGAAGTTGTGACTCTTCGATTTCAAGAAGATGAAGTTGCTTTGGATCTTCTTTTCGATGATTTTATTTTAGGAAGAAGAAGATGAAGCCATGCATTGGGTCTTCCTTTCTGTACCATTCTTCTTTCCTTTCTATCTATTTTTTTTTAATTTAAATTGAAAATTGAAAGATGCTTCTACACATATAGCTAGCCATTTACGATTTTGCCCTTCAATCACATCATATTTTTCGAAATTGCCATTGGTCGTCCTTGGTCTTCACCTTTCTATATTATATATATATATATATATATATATATACACACACACACACCACACGGTTCTTGGCCCCCATTCTTTCTCTCCTTAGGAGTTATTGGTTTCATTTTCATTTCCAAAAAGTGTAAGGTAAGTATTTGACAATATTGTTTTTATGAATTTAGCATGAAAGAGTTTGTATATGTGATTTGGGATATATTTATGTATTCAAACACCATATTTTAATCACATTTTAAGTTAAGTTCTGGGTATAATCTTGTGAATATCGTTGTATTCACTGATTATATGTTGTAATGAGCTAATAGTTATGATTGGATTGATTTCAAATAAAAAAAATAGCAAGAAAAGACCCGTAGGATGGATTGGAATGTAAAGCAAAGTAATACAAGTTAAAACGGAGTAAAAATAGCTACAGGAGAACCGTGAGATGAATCTGACGCCCCATTTGTACAAACACTAAATTTCAAAGACTCAACAAAAGGAGGCAAGACTTGAGATGGAAACCTGTGAACTAGAGCTTGTGAGTGAGCCTCGTGTTGCGTCTCCCTATCTATTAGATTGAGTTTGACCTACTCAAAGCAGAGTCCAATCGAAATTAAAATTTCAACTATATTATGTATATGTGTGCGTGTGTGTCTATTTTTACAACGTTTAGAGTTATGAGTTGCTTCAACTCATTAATAGAGGATTATAACTTAGTTTTAGAGGTTAGAATTCACTGTTCTTAATTTTTAGGGTTTATTGTATAACTTTAATAGATTCTTGTGGATAGAAAAATATTATCTAGCAAGAGCTACATTAATTAATGATTTTTAATTCTTTTT